TATCCGTTCTACTCATGCAAATGTTYACTTTATTCAGCCAAACGAAAATCATCTTTTAAATAAATAAAATAAATAAAACTACAAATAAAGTCAAAATCAATCCAAACGAAAAATACACAATCTGCAAAATACATCTTTCCTATAAAGACAATGGGGATGCCAAGCTTTTCAATATCACGTGGGAGTCTTCTTGGTTACTCGTGACGGGGATAATTAACCGTGACAAGGATACGCGTAGCATTTAATTGTACCTCGTTCCGCCGGCCTGGGCACGAGTACCAACACTCGATCAATCATGGAACCCGAGCCTTCGTTTGGCCGACGCAACATAAGACTCGCCGTACTGGAATTTTCTGAGCATTTTGAGGGTCAGTTRAAATAAAAAAGAAATGTCGCCCGGTTGCTGTGAAATAACAGAAAGAAAAACCATCAGATTCATTAGATCTAATTAATTTTGTCCTAAAATGATACATCAGGCCAGTAAAGTAAGAAGAAATTGTGATGAACARGCTCAATAAATTCATAAACTGCATGCAATGCRGTCTGTTTATGCACGACGAACTGTCGCCCCAGCAACTGATCATCAACCGTCGCGATCATTCCACTAAATGATTTTCAGCCAATCAGAGACCTCAATGAGCCTGGAAGACGCGCGTTCACCAGAGCTCTACGAACAACAACGCCAGAGACTGCACTAGGACCACTAGCAGGAAATACTTTGACTCACAGTGCGCGAATTCAAGTCGTTCAGAGGTAATTCACATGTTTTTGTTTTGTTGAAGTAGCAGACCTTGCACTTCAAGACCCACAATGGCTCGAATAACGATACATACCTGTATACGTAAAGTTTAGGAGGAGGCGACGGGTTCCTGGGAGAAATATATCTGTTCTTATAGTGTTCCAGCCAGCTGTAAGTCATGCACCACTGGTTGCCAGCGAGAAATTTAGGAAAAAGAGAAATCTCCAGGCAAGCAAATACTCTCTAAGAATTTTCGCTAGGAAGATAAAAAATTTCCTACTTATCTTTAAAGCTGTTTATGCCACCGTTTATAAATGACCATAAAAACGTTTGCCAGGAACAAARGAAGAGCGCATTTGCTCGTGAGATTGTCTGAGTAATGTAGCTCAATAAYCCTTTCCCAGGAAAAAAATTCGTACAAGAACAGTTATTTAGAAGAACACTGACCCAGTCTGCTCCTCCTGAAAGTTCAGTGAAAATCGGCATAACGGACATAGACGTCAGTTTATCCCATGTACTCTAGTAGCTTCTAGAGGGCATAATTTTACATTAATTCTTTGTCGCTGTATTGTAACGTTATTCAAGATAGTGATTTCAGTTATTTACACTGATGAATGTATRTCATTTGCTTGCTAAATTTTCCCCGATGCCGCGCGCCAAACGTTYAACCAACAAATGCAGCTTTTAGTTTATTCTTATTTACTTATTATCCAGTTATTACATGTAAAGCTTTTATCTATATATATCCAATTTTATCTTATATAAATGTAAAATTTCAATATATATMTATTTTTCTTTTCTAAGCCCTCCCAGGGTATAATAATTAGATCAGCATTGTTCGAAAGTTCTGTCTTTCAGTTCCGTGATTTCCCGGAAATTCAAATTTAACGGCGCAGTGACCTTTCTCGATCCTAACTGACAATTTTGTACTAGAGCAAATAATGTAGTAAAAACCAGTAACTGCTATGGCTAATGATATAGACCCCGTGTACGCCAAGCTGTGTTTTTCATTCGGACGGATATCAGAGAGACATTAATTTATGAGTTTGAGACTATTTTTGTTTAGAATCCCAATAAACAATATCAAGCTATCTTTAGAGCGAGCGTGGACAAAATATTATATTGCTTAATTATCATGTTATATGGAATATTAACAATTCAGATAAAGCTTCAAAACATCAAAAACTCATTCAGTTATCCTGATATACATTTAAGTAGCAAATACACGAATACGAAAAGCGACTATGTGGAAGTATAACTTGAGAGGTGTTTCATATAGATTATATCTTTTCTTTATTTGTTGATTTATTCGTTTTCATTTAGACATGCAACAGCTGTTTTGTATTTTACTGGTTGATTCTGCCATTTTCGCAATGGTGTCTTATTAYTGTCAAAAGCACAGTAAAAAGAACATTGCACATAAATTGCATGGCACACYCCTTTTAAAATTTGTGCATCCCCCCTTCAAAACCGTTCAWAASGTTACTRCTCATGGAGTATGTTACTTTATTAATTTCTGATTTTTGTTCAATTCCTTCTTCCCTTTAATTTTCAGCTATAAAACCATGCCGAAGATGTCGAAAAAGAAATCATTGGGATCTAAAGCTATCCCGAAACAGCCTGGACTGTACACTATCTCGGCGAGCTTTAAGGGGAAGTCTGTAGACATATACTCAGGACAAACGAATAACTTACAAAGAAGAGCAAGAGAGCACAGACGTGGTGGTGGTAAACAGTTAGTTGACAATGTCATTGCTAATGCTGATCAACGACACATCCTTATACAATGTATGAAGACCAAAAATCCCGAGGTCAAGGAAAAAGCATTCATTGCAGCCCAAAAAAAGAATGGTGCYTGGCTAGGGCTMAACCAAACCAAAGGGAATTCCTCAAAATCCTGTCCCCCCAGAAAAACCAAGAAGTGAAGGTGTTTTGACAGGTGTTTTGCTACAATATCTCTTTCATTGCCAGACCTTCAATTGTATTTAAAACATCGAGTAGCGCTTCGATCGCGCTGAAGTAGAACTAGAAGTAAAGAATGAATTACAAACCGCCAAAAATAAAATAACTCTAGTAGATGATAATAAAATCTGCTGTAAAAATGAATAAAATCATTATTTGTGTGTAGAAATAAGTTGTTTTCGTTATAGTGTTATCATGTGGTTACAGACTAACGTGCACGAATGTCGTAGTGATCATCAAATTTTGACCGCGTCTTCTGTGCTTAGAGTACATACACGCGAACTGGCATCTATTTTTTGTACAGTTTTTTTTGTACAGTTGTCAATCGTTAGTGTCACGTCATAAAACGCGGTTCTCGACCAATCTAAGAGAACCAAATATTACGAGCTAATTGCACTATTTCACTATGACGTCACGTCGAAACATTCTGTTGTTTCTACTTGTGGAGAGTAGAGGGAATATAATYGATTCAATCGATTCCAACTGTTTTTGAGCGTCTATGAAATCCAAGCACATTTACATTTGAGCAATGATTAAATACAGGAAAAAACTGAAAAATGTTGTTTGGAATTTTGTAACCCTTTCTGCTACCTAACCGGAAGTCGTTTTTGAAGACCGGAAGTAAATAGAAGCAGTGTTTTGGCGCCATTGTTTCAATCGAACGTTGCTCCTTCAACACTTACGAAAGGTCGCTTCTTTTTTACGTCAATGAACCCAAGGATCAAATTTTAACGATCCTTTTTATAATTTTAGTTTTAAAAGAAGTCTTGAAGTTATTTTAAGARGTTTGTTTTACGTTTTTGGCAAAAGATGTCCCGCATGGCTTCGGCGAGCGAACGACAACAGATGTTTGTCTTTCCATTCAACTCAATTTCTAAGCGAAAACTCGAACCAGAGGATTCCTCCATCTCTCTGGTTCAAGAAAATGGCATATTTATACCAAGAACGGAGGTAAGCATTGATATAAGGTGGAATTTTGATTAGAAACAGGTCGAAATGTTTTGCTGAGCTAACAGATTTGGCGCGAAGATCAAATTAATGTTGACTTTTGGCGTAGGAAACTAAACTYTTAAACTGAAATTCAGGGATAATTTGCTTTTATTACTGTAGAAAAGGCAACGACTTAATGGAGAATGCGAAGAACATCAGCATTCAGGTTCAGATGGTATCTGTTTGTCTCAAAATACAAATCTACGCGATCAACAAATTCACAACAAGATTCAAGACGCCGAAATGGAGGACGACATAGCGATGGATATGGCTGACAATAAYATGCCGGCGACAAAARCTGATTGTTCGAGACAAAACGATAGTGAAAACAGAAGAGATCATGAAGTGGCTAGCGGTTCTTCCATTAATTACTTTAATAGGTGAGATATTTCAAGAAATTTTATWGAGATATTGTCTTGAAAAATAAATATAAGCTTGAGCCAGTTTGTGAGGATAAAGGAATATTGCAACCAGCCGGACCCGAGTGTTGGTAAATGGAGCTAAAAACCTCAAATCAAATAAAAAGCACCAGAAAATAGCAGTGCCTTCCAGGCCACATGTTTTGGATATAAATTTGATGAATTTCATAATTATTAGAGACGGAACCATCATTTAAAAAAGATTCTTAAAATTATCTGTCCAACTTAAACTTGATATCCAGACCAGTAGTACCTCAAATCTTGATAAAATTTTTGTCGTTAATCAAAGGTTATGAATATTAATATTAGTATTAACCTGGCCTTTCACTATAATGGCAAGCAGAGCTATCTATTGTGGTCAAACAGGCCTATATTAACTTTTGTGATCGCATTTTTGTTACCTTTACTGTTATCATTCGAGAAATACTTAGGAGTATTATTTATCTCAATTTTCTTTTCCTCTTTTCACTTCTCGTTATTTGATTTTCCTTTTTAATATCCCACTTTGCTATGGCATTTCCCCTCTTCTTTCTTATTTTCTATATCTTTTTATAAAATTTTTGATATATAACGCGCGCTCTGATTGACTGACGACCGTGTTTATATCAGAGGACAGAGACACGACTTACCRGAAAAATTTTCTTTTCGCTCRAAAAAKTTTRTAAAAGAAATATAAAACGGCCGCTTGTGTCTCTGTCCTCTGATATRAACAYGGTGGGAGTTGAAAAACACTCGAGAMGCAAGAGAAACACTCRCTAYGCTCGTGTTCCTAAGCTTGCTTCTCTCGTATTTTTCTAACTCCCACCRTGTTTMTATCAGAGGACAGAGACACWCGCGCCGTTTTATATWTCTTAAATAAATAAATGTTTTTTCTCCTATTGTAGACCAAGAGGGATCAACTGTACAGCACCTGTAGTGCATTCATATTGCTTTGATAGTGGATTGTTGGATAATCTTATCATGAATTACCATGGCATCTAAGTCAACCATCGCACTGTATCAGCTTTAGAAGCCATACACATTCATGATCTACTAGCCATTTTCTAACCCTTGTATTATATTTTCACTGTATCACCTTTTTATTTATACTTTATAAAAGGCTTTGTGTCAGCTGTATATAAATTGTATGCCGTTGTAGTAAGTATTTTCACGGATATTTTAAATTTTGCAGCATTTTGAATTTCTTAATCAATCTTCAGATACATATCATGTATTAAACTATGAACTTGAAATTTCCATCATTGTCATTRTTACTAATGTACAATAATATTGAATGAATATTGGACTTCAAATTGGTTGGTTTTCACTAATGTTAGTGGATGGTTTGCATTAGGTTGACAGTTCACTTACAGTGGTCCATAAAACTGCAAATAAAAAAGTTGCTGCATGTATCCAATCTTCAACACGACTCAGTCTTACTCAGACAACTGCAGTGTTTACATGTTTAATTGCAGCATGTCGCCTTTGGGCCACTGTACATGTATGGCCCTTAACTCAATGCTGCACAATTTCAACAATAAGATATCATTCAGAAGTGATGTTCTCCAGGCAAAGTGCTTGCCCAAACAATACTTAAGATCACTATTGACCTAATCTAAACTGAGCCCAAAAGTCCTTTTTACTGCACATTACTATATTCTTCAACTCGCCCTCTAATTTGACAGGCATATAGTCATGACCATCATGACAACAGTGATGATGACTGGTACAGTAGATCTCATACAATCACCACAACAATCCCCACATTCACAGCCAGTTAGTGAAATCAAATGAAAATACTGATTNATCGCACTGTATCAGCTTTAGAAGCCATACACATTCATGATCTACTAGCCATTTTCTAACCCTTGTATTATATTTTCACTGTATCACCTTTTTATTTATACTTTATAAAAGGCTTTGTGTCAGCTGTATATAAATTGTATGCCGTTGTAGTAAGTATTTTCACGGATATTTTAAATTTTGCAGCATTTTGAATTTCTTAATCAATCTTCAGATACATATCATGTATTAAACTATGAACTTGAAATTTCCATCATTGTCATTGTTACTAATGTACAATAATATTGAATGAATATTGGACTTCAAATTGGTTGGTTTTCACTAATGTTAGTGGATGGTTTGCATTAGGTTGACAGTTCACTTACAGTGGTCCATAAAACTGCAAATAAAAAAGTTGCTGCATGTATCCAATCTTCAACACGACTCAGTCTTACTCAGACAACTGCAGTGTTTACATGTTTAATTGCAGCATGTCGCCTTTGGGCCACTGTACATGTATGGCCCTTAACTCAATGCTGCACAATTTCAACAATAAGATATCATTCAGAAGTGATGTTCTCCAGGCAAAGTGCTTGCCCAAACAATACTTAAGATCACTATTGACCTAATCTAAACTGAGCCCAAAAGTCCTTTTTACTGCACATTACTATATTCTTCAACTCGCCCTCTAATTTGACAGGCATATAGTCATGACCATCATGACAACAGTGATGATGACTGGTACAGTAGATCTCATACAATCACCACAACAATCCCCACATTCACAGCCAGTTAGTGAAATCAAATGAAAATACTGATTGAAAAGTACATAATAGTCTGTTATGACAGTGTTGTTAGTACTGTCATAGACAAAATTGTTGAAGAAAAAGAGTTGAAGCCTGCTTGTAGTTAAGGTCAAATTAAAATCACAATGCCAGTCTTTTTGCACCTTTATTTATTAAAACAATTCATGAAATAAAAACAATATTAAAAAATATTAGAATTTCACATGCAACTAGTAACCTAACAATAAGTTAATTCCTCCACTATTATTATACAGTCAATCTCATTAAACAATCACTTGTAAACACAACAACAAATTCATCTTCATAAAAGGGTAATTAAATTTAAAATTCCCAGGAAGAATGGTAATTCTAAACTAGATAAATAGAGAATTAAATGTTATTGACATTGTAAAGAAGTTTATGTTGAATATTCTTGCAAAGAAATTAATTATTATATGCAAGAGTGCTCGCACTTAAAGCGTGAAACAGATAGTACTAATTACTACTAAATAGTGTTGATTATACAATAGAAAACAAAGGAATTTGTATAATTTATCACTTATTTTGTAGTAATTATATTTCACGCATTTAGTGCGAGCACTCAATGACTTTGTTGTTATATCTTTACTTCTTTACAAATGAACAATGTTAATGGATTGACATCCAAGATACAATTTATTGGCATGATAGTTAAGTCTTTAATAAACCATTAATATTATTGGAGATTTCATCATAAATAACCCTTAACTAATCCCTTCCATAACTGTCATTCTACTGCCATAATTCCATTTGTAACATTGGTCATTACAGTTGCCTGGACAAAAACAGTCAGCACCCCCAACATGTTTGGAAAGTTTTATAGCCATTTAAACCACCRTCCTTCAAAGTGTCATCTAGTTATTTTCTGATTTTGTACTATTTTCAAATAATTTTTACAATAACAACAGCATCCCACACAATTTAGATCCTCAGAYGAGGTTTTTAATTGAAGTGTAATGATGGAAGGTAAATGCCCTGCTTTTTAAGGCTGGTCATAAATAATACAACACTTCCATGACTATCAAAGTCTGAATCATAATATTTTTTGATTGTAGTCGATATAAAACATTAAATTTCCTAACTATGATAAGCCAAACAAAACAGCAACACTAAACCATCAAATCACATCTACATTTTTTTTTCTTAGAAAGGGCTAAAAGAATTGACAAACTAACACGAATGTATAGGCAGTAGACATCAAACTGTCTTCATTTGCTCACTAATTGATAAGCATAAAGACAGTGCTATTTATTCTTCTCACACTTGAAAGAAATCCCCTCTAAGATGCTTATTCCATATTCTTCCTACACACAAAAAAAATCCACAACATGCACTTGAATTGTACAGACATTAAATTACCCACATCAACCACTTGATTTAAGAAATCTTTAAATTTATACCAGATTTTCATCATTAAGCTTCATTTAAAAATACTAAAAAGGAAAAAAGTCAAACTTTGATTTGCCTGTGTGCTGCCGAACAAAAACTGTTCAGTACACAAAAGTAAATTTGATCAAGCAATCTTGGGTAAAAAAATGGACACCTGTCATGCCCATCACATTATATTTYAATTTTTGTAGATACAGTGATACAGAYACMGTGATCAAGAAAGGTTGATCCTGTCAGGGGGTAGGGTGGGGGTATGTAAGCAAAAGGTAATAAAATGTTGTCAATGCTTTTTGATAGACAATCAACTAATAATTCAATTATATGTTATTGCTGCTAAATACATTTTTCCCCAAGATTGCCGAACATTCACTATTACCAGCCAGAGAAATCAAAGGTGACTTTTACTGGTATTGTTGTCTAGTCAGAAGTCTTCCTTTAGCTTTATAGCAAGGTTAGCAGCTACTTTATCCAGGAATTCAAAAGTACTGAGATAGTCAGACCTAACAACATTGGGCAAGCCTTTGATACAGCCAGCAAGATCTTTAGTCAAGAAACCTGCTTCAATTGTGGAAATACAYGTTTCTTCCAATGCTTGGCAAAACTTGAACAATTTATCATTATCTAAAAAACAATATTCATAAAATGAATGTAGATTCCTTGCACTGGGACGTAATTAAAATCAACATATTAAGTGGAATGGTTGTAGCAGGAAGCTGATTAGTCAATGTTGTCCACTTACCATCAAGTTTAGCACGATGCATCAGGCCTCTTGTCCATGCAAATATTGAAGCTGCAATAACCCATTCAATACATTTAAAAAAWCAAACAGAAACTTGCTTTTCATGGCAAACTCCTGACATCACTGAACCTGGGCAGAGCRCAGTGGAAGACTGTACTGGTGCCCAGTCAGTCCTGTCAATCACATTGTGAATACGAAGAAACAACTGCAATCATGGACAATAATGGGCATGTGAACACAATAAATGTTTACTAGACTTTAATACAACACAGAGCCCTCCCCCCAGAGTAAATGTTGTACACAATGTTATTGTACTAAAGAATGAGGAATACTATGCATATACAAACACAACATTGTGTTTGTGTGAGTACATTACAATGTCTAGAATTGTGACCAGTGTGCTAACGGTAAACCCCTTAAATCATCTCCATAATATACAGTATGAAGTATCCATTGTACTCACCTACAGAGTTTGTAGATGTTTCTTTGCCTTGTTGATGCATTCTGTAATGTCTAGTAACTGTACCGTGTGCTGCTTCAGCTTCCACAGTCTTACCATCAGGACAAACAAGAACACTTGTCATCATACCAAGAGAACCAAAACCTGAATCAAATATTTTAGTTTTATCAACATTTATCATCCTTATACATGTACTATCYAGCCTGCATAGCCAGGCGTTCCTAGCCACTCMGAGAGAGTTTGTTCTCTTCTGGGTTTCTWYGKYCAAAACTCTCTCGGAGCAGCCTGGCTACACAGGCTATCATCATATCGTAACAGCAATTGTCATCATTTGTTACCATGGTGATGATCACTGTAACGTTGTAAACCAAATTTTATAATTGTTAATTGTTTAAATTGTTGTAATGTCACTTTTGGATGGGAATTAATACAACAGATAAAATATTTTTATAATATTTGACAATAATAATGACCCTTTATGACTGACCCTAGTCTCCTTGCAGCCGTTTTGAGAGGCAGGCTCCTGTCCCAGGCCCGCCACTAAGACCAGGCCCGCCACTAAGACCAGGCCCGCCTGCACTAAGAACGGCTGCAAGGAAACTATAACTGACCTTGTGCTACTGAATCCGACTGCACATCACCGTCGTAGTTTTTACAGGCCCACATAAATCCACCCTCTGACTTCATAGCATATGCCACCATATCATCTATCAGACGATGTTCATACCAGATGTTATTGGCTTCAAACTTCTCCTTGTACCCAGCCCTACAGTACATAACAAATTCTATTGTTAAGTACACTATTAACCATTGCAGCAATGGAAAGGATGCATATTTGTACAACACGAACAATCATTTAACTTACCTTTCATAGATTTCTTGAAATCATTTAACTTACCTTTCATAGATTTCTTGAAATATATCTTTAAATCTACCATCATACTTTTTCAAGATTGTGTTTTTTGTGCTAATGAAA